GTCCAATGTTTGCCCACACCACGCCAAGAACGGAGGACGTCGGCCACCCCTTTAACCCAAACACCAGGAGAAAGGGGCACAAGAGAGAAGGCGACAGAACATCCCCCAGACCATCACCAATTGATTTTTGGATGAAACCTCGCTAAGGTGCATCTAGGCTCACCCAATTATGGTGCGCTTCACCTGGTGGGACCACACCCTCTTCCACCGGTTCTAATAAAGTTTGGCAGAAAAGAGTAGCATGAAAGCATCTTTAATGGTATATTGTCAATTTGAGCTGTATATAGACATGGCCAAAACCCGGCCCGGGTCGCCAGGCTCGAAAACACTGACCCTGAACCGGCACAAACCTATACTCGTGCCGGGTCCGTGTCCGGGCCGGTCCGTTATTTTTTAAAAAACAATAGAAAAAAAATAAAAAAAATAAAAAAAAAAGAGGGTCTTCGACCCCGGGCCCGGCCCGACGAGTCATGAAATGGATGACCCTTAAACGGCCCATCTGAAATCCGGTCTGGTCCCAGACCCGTGATCAACGAGTTTGACCGTGCCGGGTCGGCAGGCCAGTTGACCTGTGGCCATGTCTAGCTGTATAACATGGAGAAAGAAAATTATGAAATTGTGTATCCAATGATTAATGTCAACTCCAATATAATTTGACATGTGTAAGATTATAATTGATTGCAGAAAAGAGAGATTTGTAATAAATAACATAATAAATAATAGAAAATATTTAGACGTAGTTCTATGTCTAGTAGGACTCATACACATTTTTAATCACACATAAGATTTCTATGTCTGGCCTCTAGAGTTAATCAATCAATTTATGGTATAAAGTTGATAAAATTAATAAATTTGGTTTCAGTATAAAGTGGACAATTTTATTTTAGGTATTTGATGGACATATTTATTTTTAGTAGGAAATGTGTTATTATTAATAAATATTCGATTTTATGATATAAAGTGTACGATTTTATTTTAGCATGAAATACTCAAATTTAAATGGTATGAATTTTATTAACTATGGATCCAAGTGTAGTTGAAATTTTTGTAAAAAAAATAAGTTTTCAAATAAATTGGGATGAGATAATATATGTGCCGATTTTAAGCATGCATTAACATTTTTTTTTCAATGTAACATTATGAACTAATATTTTTAGTGTAAATTATTGAATTAATCAAAAAATTGGGATGAGATAATATTGGTGCAGATTTTAAGCATGCATTAACATTTTTCTTTTTCAATGTAAAATTATGAATTAATATTTTTAGTGAAAATTATTGAATTAATCTATATCTAACCAAATCACAACGATTGATTATAGGCTTTAAAAAAAGCTTTTTTATTTACTTTTCTAATAATTTTAAAATTATTAAACTTGATGATCATTTTTTAAAATTTTAAACAGATCGCGCATCTAAAAATTAAATAATCAATTTATGATATAAAGTTAACAAAATTAATAAATTGGATTTTGGCATAACGTAAGCGATTTTATTTGAGATATCTAATGACTATTTTTGGTTGGAAATTTGTTCTTATTAATAAATATCCTAATTAACGGTATAAAGTGTGCTATTATATTTTGTTACGAAATGTCATAATTTAAATGGTATGAATTTTATTTGGTATGGATAGAAGTGTATGTGGAAATTTTGAAAACAAAATAGTTGGTATGAATTTTATTTAGTATGTGTATGAGAATCGAATTTTAGATTGTTTTGTTATAAAATAAAGGTGATATGATTCTCAAATTTCAGCATATTCTCATAATAAATTGCCATAAGATATTGATGATAATTCAGAAAATTGGAATTATTGATGATAATTCGATAAATTTGCATGCATTCCTCTTTAAAATCAGTAAGCACTACAAGAAATCTGCCAAACAGTGACGAAATTTCATGTGACGAAAAAAATCGTCACCGTATGTTGCCTTATGGTGACGAATTTAATAAATCGTCATTACACCATTGGATACGGTGACGACTCCTACATTCGTCATATTAGAGTTCTTGTTTCGTCACATAATGGATTTTTTCATGACAATGCACCTCAATTCGTCACTTATACATCTAAATTTGTCACATGTATGTAAAATATGACGAAATTAAATGTGACAAACAAACTTTCGTCACTGTTGTTGTTATTTAAAATGACGCTTACGATTAATTCGTCATTATATAATTATTTATTCTGACAATACATTATAATACATCTAAATTCGTCACATTAATACATATTATGACGAAATTCACTATGACGAAAACAAATTCGTTGATTTTTGTTCGTATTTGAAATGACGCTTACAAAAAATTTGTCATTATATAATTTTCTTTTGTGACGATAAATTATAATAAATCTAAATTCGTCACATTAATACATATTATGACGAAATTAACTATGACGAAAACAAATTCGTTGTTTTTGTTCGTATTTGAAATGACGCTAGCTTACAAAAAATTAGTCACTACATAAGTTTTTTTTGTGACGATAAATTATAATCCATCTAAATCGTCAAATTAATACATATTATAACGAAAGTCACTGTGACGAATCAAAATCGTTATGTTTTTATTGTATTTAAAATGACGCATATGTATAATTCGTCATCATATAACTTTCTTTTGTGACGATATGTTATAATATATCTATATTAGTCACAATAATACTTATCGTGACGGAATTCACAGTGACGATAAAATCGTTATTTTTATTTGTATTTAAAATGACGCTCACGTATAATTCGTCATTATATAACTTTCATTTGTGACGAACATACAGAAGATCCAATGACTTCAAATCTAAACAAACTTAAACAGGCATCACCATTCAACATCGTTTCTCCTACAGTGCAAGAGAGCCAACCTAAAATGGGAATTTAGAAGATAACCGAAAAGACAATAGGTGAATAATTAGCAGACACCCTGCATATGAAATACGCAATTGAACAAGAGTTCCATTTCAAGCTAGCGTCTATTCATGGGACATAATTCGACAATCTACATCTGTATTATGTCAAATACACAGATATTGGCATCTACCGCGCTAGTTTTACATCTCAAACATAACAAAAACAAGCATTTGAATATCCTCTTCATAACACATTAGTCTACAGAATTCAGCGTGGTGGCAACTTGGTCAAATCAACCTCTACATCCTCTTCGCCATCGTGCCTTCAACTCGTCTAATCTCATACCTGGAAAATAAATAAACCCGTGATGCAACCATCTTACTCAAGAAATGAATGGATAACATATAAAAGAAAAGCAAGATCGAAGGATGCTTCAAAAGACAACTTTCAGCAAGTCAATTACAACACACAGATCAGTAACATGATTGCATTCTTGATACCCATCTTGTAGACATTTCAAAGTTGTTTAGTGCAAAGACTCCTGACAGTATTTAGTCCGAGAAATTATACCTCTTATGCCATTCGAGGGAAACATGCCAACTATTCATTTAAATAAAGGAAACTCTTATAAGTTGAATGAAACTAGAAAAGGATCCACTAACCTAAGATTGTCAATAATATACTGAGCATATCAGGTTTGAATGACATAGCCCACAAAACTAAATCAAGATTTTCAAATGCAGAAAAGAAAAGGAACAAAAAANTCAACAAAAAAAAAAAAAAAAAAAAAAAAACACTTATGATAAATTAGAATATATAGGCTCAAGAGTTTGAAAAAATGCAACTAAACAAATAAAATTGAAGAGGATAAGCATCAGCACGATCTGTGAAGTTTACAACTCATACTGAAATTTTGGCATTAGATTTGTTCTGTAAAGTACTTATATTAGATAGAGAATATTAAACAAAGAAAATATCTAGAAATGTTATTCTAATTGCACTAAACCAACACATATTATTCTTCCAGGTTGCAAAAATGAACAAACAATTCATGACTGTGTAATTAAGAAGATCAATTCCATCAGTTGTGTTAAATGATTGGAAAACAAGCGTATTAGTTACGAAGTAAAATGACCTATTCTAATAATTAAAATGATGAAGTACAATGAACAACTGGATAATTTTCACACGCTAGCTGCTTTCATTTCCATCAATAACACCAAATCAACTAAGCAGAAAACTGTCTGACTAAGCCAACTTCAACCGCAGCAGCAGAGAAAACTATCCCAAAAAATGAAATAATATACTCCTAGAAACATAACAAATCATATGATGATTGGTGAAATACGATTTGGACTGTACCATCCTGATTATACAGCAAACAAAAAATCAACTAATTGAATTAATTGCATAAAGAAAAACAAGTTGAATTACTGTGAACTCTCCCAAAAAAACATAGCTTTCTTACAGAAAAAAACATCTTTATCCTGTGAAATTACAAATGGCCCCATTTTCAGCCCTGTAAAATACAGGAAAAAGCATAAACAAAACATAATGCTTCACCAACTTGCCATCAATTTAAAACATTACAAAACATAATGAATCAATGAATATTTTCTGGAAAAAAAAAAGTCATTCAAAAGCTCAGCCACTAGTTCAAAATATACGGCCAACAAGCACACCAAAACAGGGCAAAAAAAATTACAACATATACATGCTCCTTCTTCTCTAAAACTTTAACATGCTCATAACTAAAACTCAAGGTTGAGCTTAACACTTCCAAAGCTCACGAAACAGTACATAACAACAAACAATAGCAGCCTCCAATCTCATAAACATGCTAAGCACAAAACTCATGCAATTCATGCTTCATACTCCTCTAAACATATCCAAACTTAACGACATATGAATAAGTCTAGAAACTGGTCCTTAACAATTCAAAAACACTTAATCTCAGCCACAAACCACTTAAACCGAGGCTTGATTCAGCTATAAGAAACAAGGCTCAAAGTAGTAAAACAACCAAGCCATTACTATGCTAAATTTTCCTTTTCAACAACAATAAAATTAAGCATGCCTTTTCAATACTTCTATTGAACATTTATCTATGAAATTGCACATCAAAACCGCAGCATACATAACATAAAATATGCTCAGCAAGTTCAATACACACAAGGGATAAACAATACAATCCTTGCTTCTTTTCTCGACCAAAACAGAGATGTAAAACAGGCATATAAATGTCACGAAATCTCGGCCAAAACATGGATAAACTCGGCTCAGTCGAAGGTACCTGTTACGGGACTTAAAATGGAAAAGAAGGTGGCTCGATTTCTGGTTGAAGGGCTCTCGAAAAAAACTCGGCTTGCTGCAGCCTGCTACCGGCTCCCGGACAAATCTCGGCACTAGAAATTTCTCATTTTCGGATTGCCGGAGGCTTGGTTCAGCCGGGCGTGCTTGGATTCACTCAGCTGCAGGTAAAAGCTCGACCTCGGGAGCTCAAGAAATTGCTTCAGTCGCAGACCGCCTACTCTCGGCATCTGGTGTGCTCACCTCGCCGGAAATCTGTTGGCCCTTGGTTGGGGTTCGTCGTCACGCCTGGAGGTCGAAGGTCGCAGATCATATGTATGAGCTCGACGTCGGAGAGTGTGAATTCCAAACAAACAATCTTTGAATGTGAATTTGTGAGACTTAGAGTGCAAATTCAAAGGAGAATTCGAAGGTAAAGGTGCGAATTTTGTGCGTTTGTATTGTGCGAAATTGAAGTGTTTGTACTGTGCGAATTTGCAAGAGTNCTGGGAGTGCAAATTCAAAGGAGAATTTGAAGGTAAAGGTGCGAATTTTGTGTGTTTTTACTGTGCGAAATTGAAGTGTTTGTACTGTGCGAATTTGCAAGAGTTTGGGACATTGAAGTGTTTTTACTATGATCATTGCTATTAACAGTTGTTGATAGGTTTGGACTGTATCATAACCAGTTGGTTATCGCGTTGTAAACTTTTTTGCGAGTTAATAGATCGTCAATTTCGTTTCGGAAAAAAAAAAATTGAGAGGGAGTTTCAACTAAGAATTAGAGATTTCAATATAAACTAATATATATATATATATAGGGAGTGGTTCAAATAAAAACTAGTCCTGGTGAGAATCGTGAGAACCATAATTGATGCTATTTTTAATTGTGTATGATGCTATTTTTAATATCACATGGTGCTATCATTTTTACAAATACTAATATAAATTGTGTTGCTATTTTTAGGAAAATAGATCTATATTAAAAATAGCACTAAAACACAATCAATCATAGCACTACGTACAACTATAAATAGCGGTTCTCATGGTTCTCACGCTAAGACTTAGTTCTCATTTGAACCACATATATATATATATATATATGTATATTTTGGCTCAGTTTTTTTGCGGTACCAAAACCAAATCGAGAATCATTCGGTTACCGATGATCGGTTACCATTACAAACTAGTCAATACGACTCGTTTTATTTTTTTCATCAGTTCAATTCGGTTTTTGTTTTTTGGTAAAAAAAATGTCACCCCTACTCCTAATCTACATATATATACGTGTTTATATATATATATATATGTATATATATATTATTTATTTATATAAACACTTACCAAAATTAGTAGGCATGAAAATTCGGGAATAATTAATTCATACTATCACTAAGCATGAAATATAAGTGAAGTATAGTTGTTATTATTATATATGTTAGTAAGTATTTCAAAAATACTGAGATTATATATGATTAAAGTTGATGTATAAGATCTATAAACAAGACACGTCTAATATTGTAATTTGGTTCTCGGTACAGATGTTTGTAAAATCTCAAGAACTGTACAATTTTATTTTTTTTATCAGTTCGGTTCGGAGAAAGTTAAATGGTCAACGATTATTTTTGGTGAATTCGGTTTCAATTTCGATTTCGGTTCTGTTAAACACACACACACACACACACACACATATATATATATTATCTATTTACTATAATTAGTGGCCATAAAAATTCGGGATTAATTAATTCATACTATAACTGGTAATATTTCAAGTATTTTAAATAAAACTTTGAGCATAGACTGAAGCATAAAATGCATTCATTTATTTATATTACATTTGTTAAAATTGATGGAAATTGATATTCAAGGTTTAGAAAAACAATATATTTTTTAATTAGTATCGTTATAAGTGATATTGAAGAAACTCTATCCTCTTGACCGATTCTCACTTTCTTCCAATTCCTAAAACCCTAATTAAAGAAGCGTGCCCCCCTCCAGTAGGGCATTAATAGTGCGGCGGCCAACGTCGCCGACTATTTCCTGATCTGTCCTATTAAGCTGCACTTCTGATGAGTTCGAGGAGGCTACACCGAGCGATATTTGCCCTGAATCAGAGTGTCACTAGGTAGGCTGACCGGTCCGACTATTTAGACCGAGAATCGATCAGTTGACCGTTCAAGTTTGCTGGAATGAATCGATTATCAGCGAACCGATAAAAAAAGGCCAACAATCAGTTGCCCGTCAAAATCAGTCAAATCAGCTAATCAGATCGGTTTGAATTGGTCTAATTTTTTAAATTAAATGAATATATTTAATAATATTTTTAATATAAATAAAAAATAGATATTTAACTATAATGAATTTATTGAAGTTATTATAAATTAGTTAGATTAAATTTTGAATGACTTAAAAAATTATACCAAAAATTAGTGTGCCATTATAAAGCTAAAATTATACCAAAAAATCACCTAATTTGTATCTCCCCAAACCAACCCCACCGTTCACAAACCAAAAAACGTCCAATTCATCTGCCTCGTTCATATTCATCAATCCATCCTAAATAAATAAACAAAAAAATAAAAATCAGCTTGCCAATCGCCATAGATCTAAAATCTCGACTCGTTTTTTATACAAAGCCTTCAAATTGGTGTGAATTTTCCGATTGATGAACAAATTTCATGAGGTTATCCAAATCGAATCCTCTGCCTCGATGACATCCACCACCTGCTGCTTGAAATCGGAGGCGAGGACGAGCACAGAGACGGCGACCGTGCGTGATACAGAGGTCGACGACGCGGATGAGGGTGAGATTGGGGGTGGTGCGGGAAGACAGTCGGGTCTGTATGGTGGCGGAGAAGGTGTTGTCGCCGAGTGACAACCAATTCTCGACGGAGGTCAGGCCGTCGATCACGCCGGTGCAGAGGCTCGCCAAGCCCATGGTGATCCAGCACCACAGGTTCGGGGCCTTCCATTCTCATATGAATCGTCCATATTTTTCGGTATTTTGTTGTAAAATTTAGCTTAATCAATTTTTCGGTTTTTTGTTCTAAAATTTAGCTTAATTAAGGGTACTATGGTGAACTTTGGATGACTAGAACATTGGCGGACAAAAAATTTGCTTTGGCGCTCACTAGTTAGTTTAATTTTGGCCGTATCTTCAGCAAATATCTCTCCCCCTTTCACTCATATAAGTAAAAGTTTAGGCTAACAATTATCATGTCTCAAAGATAACCCGCCTTCTATAATACAGCAATCGGTTGTTGTGGAAGAAGACTCTCTCATAGTATCTTGGTTCTTTATGTTATGCCTTACATCAATTTGTTTCTATTTTACATCAATCAATCAGTTATGCATTACTTTTCATTCTGATGGATTTTTTTTTTTTTTTGCCTGATACAAAAGGTTTCAAATGGCTCCTGGATTAGTTCGGAATTCAAGAACAAAAATCATACCGAATTCTTGACAGAGTCTCATAGATCACATGACGAAGACAGGAAGTTTAGCAAGGGGTAAAAATCGGCAATCCGAGAAGACTAATATGGGATCAGACAAAGTGAAAAAAGGATTGCCATTAACCGATGGTTCGTCTATAGGAACCGAAGCTGCAAATCCCTTGTTTGAGGGCAACCTGCCAAATGTTCAGTCTCCTCAAACTCAGCAAAAGGAGAGTCACAGGAAGATATCATTGGTACATAGCTAATACTCTAAAATTTTTATTGTGTTGTCGTGTTGTTTCATGAACTGTGTTGTGTTGTTTCATGAACTTCATGTACTATGCATCATAATGCAACTCTAGAAATTTGTCACAGTATAGTATGCTATTTGCTGGATAATTGAATGCTTGTTTATCTTTATATTTATGAGTTTATTAGTTTTGTTTGTTTTAATTAGGCGTGGTATCGGTTCGGTTACAGTTCTTGCCGATACCAAACCGCTAATTTCGGTACCAATAAATGTGAAACCGAAACCAAACCGACTTGTAGTCGGTAACCGAGCTTTCGGTTATTGAAATCTCGGTTCGGTGTCAATTTTGTACAAAAAAAATAGAAAAAAAAAGTGAGCTATCAGTAACAATAGCTCTGCTTGACTGCTTGAGTGGCTTAGCTGTTCGTCTCACCTACTAAGACTATCCGAATCATCAAAATAATATAAACAACCCTACATGCCTTTGAACATGGGTGATAATTTCCTTCGTTATGCAATCATAAACTTCTCAAGACTCAGGCTTGGGCTTGAGATCCTTCTTCATAACCTGCATGGGCAATAAATAAACTCCTTTCATTATGATTAATTTCTTTGATATGATGAAATCCAGAATCTTAAGCACCTAAAATAGATTGTTCTTATTTTCACCTTAAATAGATTGTTCATATTTTCAATACTGTGCAATACAACATGAGTTTTGAGAGTAATAATAGTTGAAAATGTAAAAAAAGATTACTTGAAAATGTAGTGTTAAAGCTTGGGGTTTTAAGGATTACTTCCCTTAATTTTGTTAAGAACATGCAATTTGATTTTTGTTTTTCATGATTTTTCAGTGTCCTGCACTTTGATAATGTAGTTAATTTATACACAAGATGCTCTTTCATTTGTATTGTGAAGTAACATGCAAACTATCAATTTCACTGGACAAAAGTTTTTTTTTTTTTTTTTTTTGGTTTTTCATGGGTATCTGATATATAGCTGGCTCCTTTGGTTTATTATGTTACAGCTAGAAAAATGCGGATATTTTGAGGGAAAAGAAAAAGAAAAAAGAAAATTATCGATATGAATTGTTGCAATATTGTACAATACATGTTATTAACAAACTGAAGGATATGGACTTCTACACTTAGTCTGTTAAATATTACTTGGACTATTTTTTTTTTTTAAATTATAAAATTATGTGTGAATGTGGTGATTGTATAATTCGAATATAATTTTGAGTCAAGCGATAGGAACACACAATTTATATATTATTATGTTATAATGTATTGATTCTTATCATTATACACTTCAGTATGCTCTGCACTAACAATCTTTTTCTATACTTCTTATTTATGTTTTTTTTTTCTTTATTATCTATCAAAACTTAATATGAGTTTCAGCTTGTATGAAAACTAGTGAAAACTTGAGCCAAAGTGTCTGATATAAACATAAAATTAATTATTTTGAAACAAAAAAGGACATGAACTGATGTAAACAACTATGAGTAGCTTGTCTAGTTTGAAACTCCAGTGACTTGTATAATATAAAAAACATCCCTGCTCTGCTCATTTTAGTCAAAATACATATGCCTTTGCTTTTCAGAGTGTTTTGATAAAATACAGTATTATGAGTATGAAGCTTTTGACTAATTAAAATAACCTAGTGTTGAACATGCAGCTTCCAATACCACCAGTAAGA